AAAATGAACATCAATCTCACACAACACATGATCGGTGGCGGATTTAAAATTTGCATCAAGGGAATTTGGAAAAAAAAAGTGGTTTGAACCCCTAAATCACTAAGTCAACCTCTAATTTTATATTCAGGAGGTTCAAAATCAATATATAAACATAAAAATTCTAAAAATATCATCAATATACAACGTAATTTTTTGCTGAGATGATTCGAGTGAACCCCTCAACATACTCTAGCTAGGTTCGCCCTTGCACATGACATTTGATGATGGAGAAAAATCAATATTATAAACATAAATATTCTAAAAATACCACTAATATACAACGTAACTTTTTGCCGAGAGAATTCGAGTGAACCCTTCAACGTACTCTAGCTAGGTCCGCCCTTGCACATGACATTTGATGATGGAGAACCCTAATGAAAGAGGATATACTTAAATGACATAGACATAATACATAAATATGTTATTTAACTTGGCTTCTACTGATATTTATATCCTTTAACTTTGGGTGTGCACAATAAACCACTTACACTTTTATAAAATTAAATAATTAAACACATTCATTCCACGTGCCATCTTATATGATTTTATGTCTTACGTGATGTCCTACGTATATTATGTCACATAACATAAAATACGTATATCTACTTCAATTTTACTATATTAATATATTACCATACAAATAGATATGGAGCTCAAATATCATATCTTGCTATGGACCATAACTCGAATCCTCCAGAAACATGATGCTCTTCGTTTACACCAATGCTTTTTTGGTGTACAATGTATTGTAGCTCCCAAAAAAAAGGACAAAAGACTCGTTACAAAATAACAAAACTTATAAAGGAGACAGAGAAAGACAAAGAAGGGAATATCTTACATCTCAAGAATCTTCCATTCAAATATCAACAACTCATCTACAACCTTTGGAGGAAAAGGGAGGGGGCATTGGGGGAGGAGGGTAAGGGCGATGCATCGATCGATTCGATTAATAAGATGAAATAGATATTTCTTTTATTGGTTTTTAATTTATCGATTTTAGTTTTTAGTGGTTTGGGTTTTCGATTTGATCAATAAGAAAATAATTATAAAATAAACATAAATATATATAACTTCTTCAATAATTTGATACGACGAGTTCTAGAATGCTCATAAAATAGAAATAATAATAACTAACATGAAATTAAAAAGAACTATACATGTGCAACAAAGAGAAATTAAGAAAAATATAGTTCTTACTTTAGGTTTTAGCATTTTTTATAATGTGAAGTTCTGAACACAAAGTGTGATTTGATGGCTAGAGGACAAAAGCATTAATCGTTAAGGTATTGTAATCAGTATTTAATATTTATGTAAAAGTATAATTGTAAATTATTATAGTCCTAATGAATTAATTAGGTTTAAAAGTAAATGATATAATTCTATCAAACACTACAACAAAACATATGCAAACACACCTATTAAATGTTCAAGATCAGATAATAGGACAACAAAGTTTTACATTCTTGACTTCTTGGTAAAAAATTAAAGTACTTCTGTACGAACATATTTGCTAAAGAAATAATTTAATAAAAATGTATTTTGAGATTTATTTTAGAAGTAAAAAAAAACTAAAAATTAATCGAATCGTGCGATATCGAAGAAAAACTCGATATGATTAGATGATTTTAAAAAATTTAATTTTGATTATATGTATTGTAAAATATCTAAAAAATGAGATGATATAATTTTTTTAAAAGTAATCGATCGAGCCATTTTATTCACACCCCTGTTTAACGCAATAAAGCAGATAATTTTTTATTTTTCTCATATTATTTCACCCACTTTAAATTCCTTTCTTTGTGTAATGCAATTATTTTCTGTCCCAACTTACGTAAACAAACCCTTGTACAAAAGAAATTATTTCATAATTTAGTGGTACAACTATCGCATTATTAGCCTCTTGATAAATATGACTTTCAATTTTCTTCAGTTTGTTATATTTTTGGCTTTACCATATACCTTCATGTTATTGTTAATTTGATACAAATACTTATACTATATTATTATGCTCATAAATAATGTAGTTTATTTTTGTTTATCTTATTTGTTTCAAGTGTTTTGTGTATAATCATAACTTTGACTTTTGATATCAATGACAAAATTTCGTTCATTCACTATATCAAAAATGAGCTTTAACCGTAATTAATTAGTAATTGCTGCTAAATATGTATTTTTAGCGGCAATTATCACTCTTCGCATAGGTCCATAAAAGCTTTAGCGACATCAGATTTAAAGACACTTAACTAATTTCAGTAAAGATCGAACATTCTTTATTAATATGTCTATTTATTACCGCTAAACATTATTTTTGTTGTAGTGGCTATATATAATTTTGCGGTACACTTTTTATTTTTTTATTCTACTTTTTTAAAATTTTGCACTTAATTAATTAAATATGCATATGTAAAATACAAATAAGGTTGACTAGTAAATTATAAAATTTTACCAAATCAAATAAAAATAATAATATCAAAATTAGTACTACACATATTATTTTGTGTGATACAATCATATCTCATAATGATATATATATTTGTACATGTGTAAGACTTTTTTTTTTTTGCTTTAAAATTGAGAGTCTCAATGACCGGCGGACCCCGACCACTATATTAGTACTCTGTCCCCTACCATTATATTAGCACCCAAAAAGTGGATGATAAAGACTTCACATCAATATGCATTATATAAAATATTAAAGGATCCTTTGATATTATTTATACATTGAAATCAATATAATTAATATAATGTTTACTAATAATTGAGGAATTTTTGTACATAACCACTTATAATAACTTAATTATAATTTGTTAATTACGATTCGTAGCGATGAGCGAAATTGTAATTACGATTCGTAGCGATGAGCGAAATTGGAAGAGGGAGGAGAGAGGTGAGTGAGGCGTATTGTAGTTGTATATCGATTGGATAATTGTATATATATATATATAACTTGTATGCATATGTATGAATAATTATATTTGTATATTTGCATACAATTTTTATTTGTATGCAATTGAATTGAGGTCAAATATTTGTATATCCAGTCTCTGTGGCTTATGCAAACATAAATTATACATTTGTATTTGTAAAATTTATGTTTGTATAAAGTGAGAGAGACATGCAGAAGATAATCGAGCAGTGAGAGATTTATATTTGTACAATAATAAGTGAATAAGGCGGAACAATATACATTTGTTTTTGTATATTCACTCTTTTTCTCTCGCTGTACAAACACAAACACAAATTATATTTGTATAATTTGTGTTTATAAAGTGAGAAAGATTGACAGAAGAGAATCGACAGAGATAGGCTGGGCAGGGAGAGGAGATAGGCGAGGGAGAGATGACTGAAAAATAGGAGAGAAGCGAACAAAATTTTGAGAGAGAGAGGCGCGAGAGGAGATATGCGCGAGAGAAAAATATATAATTATAGCTAGAAGTAAATTTCGAATTGTAATTAATATAAACCGTAGCTATGTTAGCTAATTAAGTAGCATATATTTGCTTAACCGCATAATTATCCCATAATATAATTGCTATATATAAATTTGAGTGTACTAAATATGGTGCTTAATTGTTTATTGATCTATAATTCCGCATAGCTTATACCGAAGAAAATATTGCATTAATTATTTTATATAAGATAAAAGATAAAATAATTAAACGTTGCATAATTTATACTTCCATTATTAATACGTGTATAATTATAATCCTTATATTACAAAATATCTATCTGACTCTAATCAATATTCAAGTGACCCCTAATAGTTACATGAAATACTAAAATTATCCAATATTTTTATTATTGGTATTTACATAAGTTAATACCTGCATAACTGTAATCACCGATGAAATTGAGATGTAAATATTGAGGTGTAAGGCAACATTTGTGTGTATGGATTTTGGTGTAGGGAATGTCTTATTTGCTCAGCTGTCATGATCTGTAATGAGGTGATGTCTCATTCTACCAACAAAAAAATAATAAGAGAGACTCTTCTTCTTTCCAGGTCATACAAAGAAAAAAGAAACCAAAAAGGCTCATAGTGTGGATACCAGGAAAAGACTTTAATTTGATATATATGGATTTTCTCAACTTTTCTTTTGATTCCTTTCAATTATTATGTCTCTCCGGTAAAAGTTTTTCACTGTTCCTAACCTAGTAAAGACAAACTTTTTTTACTGTCATTTACATCTCTGATCCTAAGTCTTTTGAAAATAATTTTTCTCTTTATAAACGTAAGAAAGACAAGGTTTGTGTATAGTTATAAAGATAAAAATTTCATTAAAAGAGTTCACGATTTAATATATATATGAAGAATAATTTTTGACCTATATATTTCCTTCTTCCACTTTTAATTGTCGTGATTTTTTTTATTAGAGTAAACAATAAGAACTTTGTCTAATATTTTACAATGTATTTTCTTTTTTCATATTGATATGCAAAAAGTAACAATTTATAGTACTTTTCGTATAGTTTTTGAATATTAAATTTTTTTGTTTAATATATCGAATTAATATAATTTAATTTAACTTTAAAAATTAGTCAAATTGACTTTTAAAAAGTGCAACATGATAATTAGAAATGGACGCACTATAACAAAAACAATTTTTATCATTTGTGATATAGTGACGGACGGAGTGATACTTCACATAATTTATTTATATACCTAGTATAATTTTTCGACGAAGGGTGGTCAAGTGTCTGACTAGCCACCCTAAGCTATATGTGGCTCTCCCACTATCTTTGTACACAACATATCCTAGCCTTCTTAAATGTTACTTGTGAAATTACATTGAATATATTGTTGTTATTGTAATTACAACTATTCATTATATCGAATATGTTATGTTACACTGAATATATTGTTGTTGTCGGAGTCAAGAGCTACTTAGATTGGATGACACCCTCTCTCTCCATTATTATGAAAGGTAGGCCAAACACATTTTATTAGTAATTTCATGTGAAAATTTGAGGTTTGTAACAACCTCCTTATATCAAGAATTTTATCTTATTAAAAGATAATATATTATTATTGTTTGTGTGTGGGAATTGTTAAAACATAGACCTTTAGTGCCAACTCTGTTTCTACAGATGGGAATCAAAAAGTACTTGTACAACTGACAAGGTATGTAACCTTAACTGAATTGGTGTAAAGAGAGACAGGATCTGAAGAAAGCTACTCCGATTAATTCCTTTTTCTTTAGTTTTACTGAGCAGGCAAAAGTGAGGGGCTCTTCTAACTATGGTAGAGCTACTTTCTTGATATGACATATATGGTGTTGTGTGTGTGAATGCATGGACAAGAATGTGGGGTACTATCAAACTTTAGCCTAATATGAGTTGAAATTAGCTACATTGCTTCCTTCACCAATTTCTCAAATGGATTCTTGAAAAAATCAACATTTTTTCAGAGTTCTTGTCATAAAGTGAGGACCCACTGTTTCTTGATCTGAACTTAAGTGTTGATGAAGATGGTACCTTTAGTACTCATTCATGAAGAAGTTTCAACAGTAATTTGAATCACATACTGTCAATGTTCAAACTGGATGATTTTCTTGAATGGCAAGTTCAGTTGCAGCTGTAGCAGGAGGAATTGGAGGGGTTGTAGTAGTATTGTTGGGAGTGATTTTCTTTGTATGTTTTCGTGGCAGGAAGTATTCAAATAGGAATTCAGATTCAGCTTCTTCAGATCCATCTGCAGTAGGTAATGTAGTAAAAATAATGATAAAAAAAACTATGTAGCTATGGAAATTTACACGCGATGCTAACTCTTTAAGTGTTTCTGCTATTGGATACGATTAGTTTCGGTGGAGATGAAAAGGGGAGGATCATTTGGTCAATCCAGGCTGTTCAGAATGGAGGAATTGGAGAAAGCTACAAAGCATTTTGATGAGAACAGTCTCATTGGTTGTGGGAGTTTTGGTCTTGTTTTCAAAGGATTGCTTTGTGATGGAACTGTTGTTGCTATAAAAAGGCGTTTAGGGACTCCCAAACAGGAATTTACTGAAGAGGTATGTTTAGCTATTTAAAGGGAGTCGATTGTTTGATTGAATAGGAAGGGAAAAAAGTGCAAGACAACAAGATTATGGATTATCCTATTCGTATTTTTCAAACTTCATGTTCCTGTTTTACAAGTTTGAAACCATCTAATTCAATTTTACTGATCACTCTAAAAAGGCCAAACCTATATGTCATTCTCTAACTTCGCAATTTCGAATAATAGGTTGCTCGTTTATCAAGGATTCAGCACCGCAATTTGGTCAGTCTTTTAGGCTACTGTCAAGACAGTGGATACTCCATGCTGGTTTTCGAGTATTTGCCTAACGGAAGCATGCACAATCACTTGTATGGTAGGGCTCTATTGAGTAGACATTACGAGCGATATTATATGCCAAAGCTGAGTATTGGTTCTTTTGTTAGACACAGGGAAGGAATCTGCAACAAAGCTAGAATTCAAGCAAAGGTTATCTATTGCTATTGGAACAGCTAAAGGTATATCATAAAGACTCGTTCGAGTTAAGTGTCCTGTTTTATCCAAGAATGACTCTAGATTTGTTCTTTAAATCTAAACAGGTTTAAGTCATTTACATAGCCAACACCCTTCAATAATCCATGGGAACTTTAAAACAGCTAATGTTCTGGTTGATGAGGACTTCATTGCAAAAGTTGCAGACGCGGGGATTCTAAAGCTACTCGAGAAAATTGATGATGCAGGTCCTTCTGGCTTGAGTTCTTTCAATGCTTTTAAAGATCCAGAGTAAATAGCACTTTACCTCATTTGAAGTTGTACAAACTTGACTTTAAATTACTTTTTGATTCGTTTTCTGTTCCGTGTTTAGGATAAACCAAATCGGAATTCACTGTGAGACAAGTGATGTTTACAGTTTCGGCGTGTTCTTGTTAGAGCTTGTAACAGGTAGAGATGCTTCACATATAGATGAATTTGGATCAAACCAAAGTGTACTCGATTGGGTAAGTTTTAAAACCAATATTCAATATCTTCATCTGCATTATTCATCATGTTCATTGCTGAATATGTTTATGTAAAACTTGTCAAAAAGGTTGAGAAACAGCTGAGTTCAGAGCAGTTAGTGGATCATAGGCTGCTTGGAAGCTTTACTGCAGAGGTTATGAGGGATTTCGTCAAGATAGCGTTGAGATGCATGAGTTTCCCTGGTAGATATAGACCAACCATGGAAACGGTCGTGTTGGATCTTGAAAAGATTCTTGAGAGGGAGATCATGCACACAACTGTTATGGGAGAAGGTACTTCCACAGTTACTCTAGGGAGTCAATTATTTACAAACTGAAGCAGCAACGACGGTGTCATCAATAGTAAGAGAGTCTGTTTTCATGAATGAATTCGCCCTTGGGGCTACAAGTAAATGTACATCAGCTTAAATAGCTTTTTCCTCCCCCCACCTTCTTCTGCTTCATCTAACAAAGCTAGATGAGCAAAAGGCCAGGGCCTGAAATATTAATCGCAACATTCTTTCGTTTAAAGTCCAATACCCCTAAACAGGTGTTTAAGGGCATCATTGTTTGATTTATGAAAAATTATCTGTCATGTTTGATAGAGTTGATGTGATATGGTGAAAGAAATGATTCATTTTAGATTGTGGTTGTGTCCTTGATGATTATATTGTAACTCATGTTCAATAAAGTTAAATGAAGTTCATGATATTAGTTTAGTACTCTTGCAATTCCAATAGTTTATTCTCATTGGATTAAATCTCAAGATGAATATCGATATCCCGGTGCAGACCATGAATGAGAAGATCTAACAGCACATTCAGAGCATGAACATGAATACATATGAAGGTCAAGACGTTCAAATTAAGCGTGGACTCTGAAGTAGAGTCCAGTAAGAGACCTCCAAGGACTTAGAAGGCGAAAATCGCCATAGGAGATTTCTCAACCTGCAGTATCCAACATGTTTCTGTCAAATGTCAATGATGTAGCCATACTGGATACCGCGAAACTGCTATCCTGCAATGTAGTTAACCATTCGATCAACTTAGCCTAATAACCTTGCCAAAACGAGCACGTAAAGTAGAGAAAAAAAGGCGTAAAGCATGTTATAACCATAACAATAAATCGTTAATTACCATAGTTAAACTATTCATTCTTGGATATTCATAGTTCTGATGAGTTTAAGTTATTTACGTCAAAATTTTCACTTAAATAGTATGCAAGTAACTTTTGCAACACTTTTATGTAAATTTGAGGCTCCTTACACATACATATATAACCCGAGAAACATACCAACTATTATCTATCTCGAATCAAACCTCTAAAACTCTAAAGAACCCAAAATTTTCCCTTTTAAAGTGTCTTAACTCATTCTTAGTCTAAACTGATAAAATAAATAACAATCAATCAAAATTTAATGACCTAATAAGATTGGCAAAGCCCAGATATAAATGAAAAGGTCTGCAAAAGTGCATAGACATGACCCGCGCCCAAAAGTGACCCTCGTCCAAGAATTGTCCTAACCTTAAATATGTCACGTAAAAAATTAAAATTAAAATGTTATTAAAAAAAACATTAAAATTATTGTATCCGTTTCAGGGACTTTTATAATTATAAACTTGTAAGGGATATATTATAATTTTATATTAAAAATATGTGATTTATGTAATTTGCCTTTAATTTCTTTCACTAGACCCATATACAACCCTCCTCATTCAAAGAGAAAGATTCTTATATTTTTAAATTTCAAATATATTTTTATCCCTTCCACAAAACTATTCCAGTCAAACAAAAAAAATCAAATTTTAAAAATTATATTTGAAAAATGTTTCAAATGTTAAATTTTTTTTATCTCACCCAATCTCTACCCCCCCCCCCCCACATACAAAATTGCTTTTGAAATATGTTTCAATTTTTTTACTTAATTTTCACACCACTCCCCCGCCATCCCCACCCAGGCCACCCCGTCAATAAATCACTATTCTTTAACCAACAAATATGTCTTAATTATTATACTTATTAAAATCTAAACTTGACACAAAGATTGCACCACATTGTGCACCATATAAATTAATTTGATGATACTAAAAAGTTGATATCATCAAATTAACTAAAACCAACTTTACCATTAATTTCTTTTACAGTACTAAATCAACATATCGCCAAAAATTTAGTCACACCATCAATCAAATTTAAATCAACATATACCAATATTTTAACTATACCATTCATCTAATGATCGAAAAATATACACTGAAGCATATCACAATTAAAAATCAACAAATCATCAATTATTGTACCAGATCATCCACTAAAATATATTCGCGAAGACATGTCATTATTTAAAATAACATTTCATCAATGATTGTACAAAATCACCACCAAAGTCTATACACTAAAATAGTTTTCTGTTGGTAAATTATTTCAATAATTTATAAATCATGCACATGATACAAATCATATTTACTATGATCATCAAAATCTTCTTCGAATTAACCGTGGCAATTTTTTTTTCTTAACCTTTTCTTTGTCGACTTAAAGGTGATAATGAAAATTTTGCACTAACATCTTCTTACTTTTCACTATTGGTGACATGAATTGCTCTTTTATATTTACTTATGGAGATAGAGTAAATGCATTCAACTCAAAGCATAATTTACAACATATAATAGAATTGTTAATATTGCGTCAAAGCTTGACCTACGATTCTTCTATAGAATCCATAGATTTTTTTCATAGTAAAAAGCAACAACAAAAAGATTTTTTGTTCTTGAATTAGAGGTAATTATAAAAAGGCGAAATAGTCTGATCAATTCTTTGTACTACCCTCAAACTCAATTAAAATAAAATTTTTAAACGCCTTCAACCATGCGTGTAACTTACTCTCGCTTACAAAAATGACATGTCATATCTACATCAGATATATTAATGTCATGTCATAATTATTTCATAAATATTTCATAATTATTAACTAAAAATGTTACTCCATAAAAGATAAAAGAAAAAAAAAGGTTTCTGTTTTAAAAAATAAAACAAAATAGTTTTTTCTCTCACCTTTCCTCCACTTCCCTCAACGCACAAACACCATCAATACTTTTTCCAATCTCCTTATTTTCTTCTTCTTCTGGACGTCATTGTCTATAGCCATGACAAACCTCGTCAAGTTTTTAAAAATCATAGTTCAATTTTTTTTCAGTTTTCGTCATTCGCAACTCTTAATCGTATTTTTTTACCAATGTCTACATCGACTTTTTAGACTAATAAATAGGAACGACAATGAGGCAGGACAATGATACGAAAGGGCAGGGCAAGGGTTTAACATGGAAAGATAGGGCACTTCTTAAATAGGATGGGGTAGGGCGGGGCAGGTCAAAGCTAATTTTTTTAAAATTTTAAAAGGGCAAGGCAGGGCTGAGTTGTGTTGGGCCAAAAGGCCCATTATTTCAGTTGAGTTTTGTTTAATCCCAAAAACAAAATAAATAAGGAAAACTTTTCAAAATAGCAATATTTTAGTTTTTAGTGGGACTCTTTAGCAATAGTTTCATTATTTATTAAAAATGTTATTATTTTAGTTTGTTAAAGGATTAGTTATGTATTTATTACTATTTTGAAAAGAATACAAATAATTAATAACAGAACAGAGAAAATCATGGAACAAAAAAATTAAAAAAAGATTTTAATTTAATAAAATACAATTAATTAATAACAGAATGGAGAAAATCAAGGAAAATAATATTTCAAATAAGGTAATTTTTGAATTTAAACCAACAAAGTTACGTTACAATAATTACTAATCGTTTAGTATAACTTTAAGTAGACATAATTTTTTTCCGTTACTCTTAAACCTTTTCATCTTTTACTTTTTGGATTAAAATTAGCAAAATTTCTTTCCTATTATACGTGTTTGGTTCCATAATCGACATAACTTTTTTCTCCCTTATTTCTCAAATTTACAATATTAATTTTCAACACATCATTGAAAATACTGAATCTCCACTGATGTAAGATTTTCGAGGGCAATGAAGAAGTTTAGAATGAAAAAATAAAAAAGAAATTCAAAATTTGTTGGCAAACAAAATGAGATTGAAATACAAAATGAGCATAAAAAATCTAAAATTTGTTGGCTTTAATTTAAAATTGATATGAAATAAATAAAGAAATACCAAAACTTGTTAGCATAAAAAGTGAAAATGAAATATAAAATGATATTGAAATTCAAAGTGAGCACAAAAGAAATGCAAAACTTGTTGGCATAGAAAATGCGAATGAAATACAAAATGAGATTGAAACACAAAGTGAGCACAAAAAAATAGAAAACTTATTTGAAATTATTTGTGAAGATCATTGATGCATAGGAGAGAGCTAAACATGCATAATATAGTTAACAATAAAAAATCATTTAAACAGTTGGCTAGTAGAAGCAAAACTTGGTAACCTCTTCATCTGTACTACAACCATAACACAAGTCTTGTTCCTCATATTCGTCACTATCATATACGATTGAACTATTTCTAATAAGTACAGGGAATAGTCTAGTGCACAACGTGGTTGGGAGGGGGGGGGGAGGTTGAACAACTAGTAGGGTCCTTGGAAACCTTCTTATAGTCATTATAGGATTCAATAGTTGTGCTTCTTTTCACTGCACAAAACTAATTTACTGTGAAAGCATAGAAAGTGAGAACGAAATACAAAGTGAGATTGAAATGCAAAATGATAGTGAAATACAGTGAGCACAAAAAAAATTAATTTTTTTGGCATATAGTTAGAATGAATACATATATATAAAATTGTATGAAGCCTAATTTACGATAATATACAAAATTTTGTAAAATAATTTATCTATTATCCTATAATATAATACAAAATTAAACATTTAAATAATTTGAAATGAATACAACCTACAAAATAGATACAAGTTATTCTTAAACAACTCAAATTTCAGCAAGATACCACATGAATTTTGCAATGAATACAAAATGCAATAGACCATAAAAACAATAAAGAATACAATATGATAATTTCAATACAAAATGCAATATGCCATAAAGTTATTCTTCATCACTTTGATCTTCAACAATTTCATCAACTTCTTCGGCACCCATAATTTTTTTTTGAATTGTTGATTTCATTAGTCGTGTGGATGGAATCATGCTGAAATTCAGATTTTCCCTATTCATAGCCGGATCTACACCATAATCGATGATTTTAAAAAGAAAATAAAAATAAGTCTCAGTAAATAAACAAATCACCTTTGCCAATAAAAAAAATCTCTTGAAATTAAATTAGAGATTTTGTTGACAATTTGGAAGAATCTTGAAGAAAGAGCAGTTAGAAAACATGAAAGGTGAGAAAAGAGAATGTGAAATATGGAGAAAGAAGGTTAATGGGTATTGGTTTAATTACTTTTTTTTCTATTTAAAAGTTTATTAATTTTAGAATTTGGTCTAATGTAGGAGTGTTTTGATAAATAAAAGAAAATTTAAATAATAAAATCTGAATACAAAATATTTTCTAAAATAGTGTCATTCTGACATTTTAAATAAGTATTTTAAAGTAATATTGTTTTAACTAATTATGTTATGCATTATGACTTGATTATTAATTTTCCTATAAAATACATATTCTTAACATTATTAATTGGTGCCATTAACTTTTTTCTCTGTGATCGAGCTTATTGGGAATATATAAGTAAGCTTTGGACCATTTTAAATAGTAAAATATT